AATTGGTAAATCATAATGTGATGCTGTCCTTGGTCCTTAAGAATAGGTCAAGTTGTCTCTTGAAGGACTCCTGAGAAGTCGCTTGGACTAGCTCGGCCGGCAGCGAATTCCAGCTTTTGACAACTCTTAAGGAGTAGAAGTTGTGTCTACATTCCGTCTTGCTATGTTGTGTTTCCAGTTTCTGGGTGTTACCCCTTAGGTTATTATTCGAACTAAGCTTAAGTAGGTGTTTAAGAGGATGTCCAGAAGTGTTAAGAATACTATAAGCCATTAGTAAATCACCTCTAAGACGCCTATATTCTAGTGGGTAAAGGTCTAATGAACGGAGGCGTTCTTCGTAAGGCTTAGATTTGAGTCCTCGAACTGATTTCGTGGCTCGCCGTTGGGTACGCTCCAGGGTGTCCTTATCCTTTTGGAGTGAGGGGGTAAATACTATGTTTCCGTATTCTAACTGGGGACGGATAAAACTATTGAAGATTGTATGGAAAGTTCTGCCATCAAACTGTCCAAAAATGCGCTTCAATGTTACCAGTGCAAGGTTTGCTCGGAAGGCATTTTTGTCACAGTTAGCGTAAGACTTTAAGTCATGGGGCACCAGGACTCCTAAATCTTTTTCGACTTGGGATACTACTAGAGAGGAGTTACCTAAGTTGTAACTGTAGACTGCGACATGTCGCAGATGGACTACTTTACACTTTGAAGTGTTAAAGGTAAGTCCGTTATCGTCTGCCCAACTTTGAAGTCGAGTCAGATCCTCATGAAGTGCCTGTATATCGTCTTGGTTACGTATCTCTCTCCAAAGTTTCACGTCATCGGCAAAAAGTAGTAAGTCTGACGTTGCCTGTTGAGGACGATCATTTATGTAGATCAAGAAGAGAAGAGGCCCTAGTACTGAGCTCTGTGGGACCCCACTAGGACATTCCATAGCCTGAGATAAAGTGAAATTAACCCTAACCTTAAAATGTCGATTTTTTAGGTATGAAGTAAGCCAATCGATTAGAGGTGGTTTGATACCTAGTCGTTTGAGCTTGTTGATAAGACACAAGTGGTTAACCTTATCAAAAGCTTTTGAGAAATCAAGGTAAATGACGTCAACCTTTCCCTTGCAATCGAGGATGCTTGTCCATTTGTCCACTGCAGTCAGCAGGTTGGTTATACAAGAGTAACCCTTCCTGAAACCATGCTGTTGGGGTGAGAAGAAATTTAAGGACAGTAGATAGTCATTTAAACCGTCGCATATCAGGGACTCCATGAGTTTTGAAGGTAATGACAGAAGAGCCACCGGCCGATAACTTGAAGGTTCATTGCGTCGACCACCTTTGAAAATTGGTGTGATGTGAGCCAACTTCCAGTTTTCCGGTAATTTGCCTCGGCTAAGCGAGTGTGAGAACATCACGCAAAGCGGCGTTGCCAGGATTGAGGCTGCTTCCCTCATTATGGCGGAATGGACCATGTCCGGACCAGGAGAAGTGTCTAATCTCAAGTGCTGCAGTTTCCGGAACACCAAGTCAGCGCTTAGGTTCACTTCGGAGAGTCCTGTGGAATTGCAAACGAAACTGTCATCAGTAAAGTTAATGTCGGTCGGTTGAAATATCTGGGAGTAATGTTCAGCCAGAAGGTTAGCGGCGTCGCCATCGTTGTTGGTCGGGCCGTTAAGACCTAGCAGTTGAGAAACTCCTGTTTTGGCTTGACGAAGAGAGGCTGCATAACGGAATAGGCTTCTAGGGTTAGAGGCGAATTTGTCCATAAACTTTGTCTGGTACTGAAGCCTATCTTCTCTTATAGCCTTCGTGCATATGTTCTTGATATTTTTATATTGCCTGTACGCTCCGTCGTTGTCAGTTCGTTTGTATTCCGCCCAACAGTGCCTTTTGCGGCTTAGCAGGCGAAGGGTACGGTTCTTTATTATTGTAGGTGGCTTGCAGCTTTTGGGAACCGTTTGAGGAACTGAATGGGCTGTAGCACATAAGAGCGTGTGCAGTAAGAAGTCCCAATGACCATCCACATCGATTTGAGGGTGAACATCCCAAACCACCTGTTGTAGATAGTCATGTAGAGCTGGCACTTTCAGCCGTTTAAAATTCCAACGCAAATTATTGTTGGGATACCTTAGCTTAGTTTTGATTACAAAACTGAAGGCTATGACGGCATGATCGCTTTTTCTCAGGGGAGCCAGGATTGAGAGGTTGTCGACTAGGAATTCTTCGTTAGTGAATACACAGTCTAAGCGCGATGGTGTCTGACTGTTTCTCCAACGAGTTGCCGACCTCACGTTTTCTAACAATGCCAAGTCATCGATGAGGTTGAAGAACCAAGCTTCAATTGAGTTATCGCCTCCAGTATACGTGTGTTCCACGAAGTTTAGACTTCGTTTTCATTAATGATGTGGTTATATATGCGACTCGTAAACGTGCCCCATTATCTAGCTCGGATCACTGTATAATTCGTGTTCTACCTACAGTATATGGACAGCATGGGAAGAGTACACTCTTACATCAAACCAAGAAAGTCAAATATAGGAATTACTCAGAAGAAAATATCCGAAATCTGAAAAACATGTTTCATACAACTAACTGGGAATTATTTACAGATGACTCACTGGAAAATACTACTGATGTTATCACTTGTCACCTTAAATTCTGTTCTGATATTTGTTGTCCCACTGAAACCATTTTTGTAAGTTCTGATCGACTTACATCTTCACAACTAAAACGACTACGGAGGATGAAAGAAAGAATGTACAAGGAGAAGAACTCTAATGAAGTTAGTAAGCTAAATGGTCTGATAAACCTAGAGATTAGACGTCTCAATTCTATGTTTACTCAAAAACTCTTGTCTTGCAAAAACTCCAAGTATGTGGAAACTCTTTAAAGAACTTACAGGTGACGAACAGTTTGGAAGCGATAACCAGCTGAATGTTTGTGACTTAAATAAGTCTTTTGTACGTCAGTCATCTGATGTGATGCTCCCTCTATCCACGGGTTTAAATAATAGCTGTGTTCCTACTTTCACTGAAACTGATGTACGAAGATGTCTCTAGTCGCTTAATTCATCTCGATGTTTGGGACCTGATGGTATCCCAAACATCCTTTTCAAAAAATGTGCTGACGTTCTGTGTCATCCGTTCACAACTATATTTAACAGATCCTTCTCATCTAATCTCATACCGAAAATGTGGAGAAAGATGAAGATAATACATGTACCCAAGAAAGTATCTGATGATAAGAATGTGAAATTTAGAGCTATTGCAATAACTTCACCCTTCCTCAAAACAATGGAAAAATTGTTAATACTTCCAATTCAGCCTGCGGTAAAAGAGCATATTGATCCGTATCAGTTTGTTACAGATGCAAAAGAAGCACCTTAGATGCTGTTGTTGTTCTGCATCACAATATAGTGTTCAACTTAGAAAAGGGTAAGAAGTATGTTCGATGCGCTTTTCTGGACTATACTTCGGCTTTTGGTTCTATACCAAGACAATGTTTAATTAACAAGTTAGTCAGCGTCATCACTGACAGCTGGATAACCAACTGGCTATGTTCCTACCTCTCTGGAAGGGAACAGTACACTGTGTTTGGAGGAAAGAGTTCAGAGTCTCTACTGTCTCATGAAGGTGTACCACAAGGAGCTGTTCTTTCACCTCTTCTTTTCTCTTTTTTTCTGCATGATCTGCCATCTTCCAAAGAAAACACTTTTGTGAAACAGGCGGATGATCTCACTGTATGTATGCCTATCTCTTCCTCTTTACATTCCATAGAAATGAATGACTTCTTGTCTCGTATTGATTGTTGATCTGTTGGTAATTGTCTCTTACTTAATCCGTCTAAATGTCAAGCTGTTAACTTTAGCATGAGACATGAACGGAACCTAAACACCATGTTGAGATCCCACAATGCTTGTGCCATTGGAGACTCTTTGATAAACACAGTGTCCAAGGTCAATTATCTTGGTGTTACCCTTTCCTCTGATCTCTCTTGGTCTTCCCACGTTTTATTGTTATCGAAGAAGGTTTTCCGTCTGACTTACTACATAAAGAGATTGCATGCTCTTGGGATTACTCGTCATTTGCTCTTACAATTTGTCAATTCTTGCATATTACCTATTATTCTTTACTGTTCTCCATTATTCTTTCCCGGGCTTTTGAGAAAAGACTTTGCTGTATTGCGGAGAGTGCTGAAGGCAGTTAGCAAGGTGTGTGGTGAATCTTTCGAGATCATAATTAATATGGTTGTGGATAGACATTTAAAATCACGCGAACTCCTGGCAGGTGTTATTTTATCAGATACTAAACATCCCCTTCACTCTTATCTTTCTCCTTGTATATCTTCTGGTAGAACGAGACGTAATTACATTAAAATCCATGCACGCAAGCAAAAGTATAAAAGTTCTATAATACCTTACCTGACAAATATACTCTGTGAAGAACAGGTTGTTAGAGCTAACCTAGTCAATAACCTACATTCTTAACATGTCCTTAATTTTAAAAGTACAGTTTTTAGGTTTTTTTCTTTTTAAAAAAAATATTCTCTTCTTTTTGTATTCGTTATTGTGTTTTTTTCTTTTGTTGTTGCGTAAGTAACTTGTTGAAATAACCTGTGCTGCGAATTCTATATTGTACCAAAACTATAATATTGAATAAAGCCATTAATAATAATAATAACAGCGTCGGATACCTGGTCAGTGGTCTAATGGTTAAGCGCTGGCGCACGAGACTGGTAGGTCCTGGGTTCGAATCTCACAGGGTGGAGTCGTGGATATGCACTGCTGAGGAGTCCCATACTAGGACGAGACGGCCGTCCGGTGCTTCCAGGTTTTTCATGGTGGTCTAGCTTCAATTGACTCATGATTTCAACTATTGTAAGTGTATTTGTTAATTAAAAAGGAATAAATCACTGTTCGTAACTCTGTAAGACATCATTTTTATAGTCGAATATTCTAATGAATTCCCTAGGCTATCGAACACAAAGTCTTGAAGTGAGTCAAGTTAAAAAAGTAAGCTATTTCGTTTATAAAACTTTATTTGTTTCTATAGTCAAAAATTAACACAGTGCAAAAGCAGGGATCAATACAATTTATGAAACAGAAAAAAAAGTGGAGACAAAAATGGTATATACACAACAATATCTAGAGCACACAACAGTTGAGTCAATGAAACTTACTCTTGTTCATAAAAAAATGTACGCGTTTATAATTGGCGAATAGACTAAGCATAATCATATCAGGGTCAGACCGAGTTCATATAGTGGCAGTTTATTAATGCTATTGGTAGATCTGTTGATTGTTCACATTTGACACATTTCTCTGGTTCTTCTATTTATTTAAGATAAATCACTTATTCGTCACTGATCTTTATAAAATTAGTCAAGTAATCCAAAGGTATCTTCTGATAGATAGAACTATGGCCCTATATCATAACAAAAATTTCCAACAGCGCATATCCGTCTCTGGAATTTAGGGGATGGATACTCTCTTATATTGACATCTGAATTGATGAATGTTTTTACTTTTAGGGTTACAGATAGGCTTTGTTGAAGAGTAACGTTAGTTTTATTTGTTTAGTAAACATTCCAAAGTGTACCACAAAATCTCACTTCGTTTAATGGTTGAATTATAGATTCTAACCATGATTTACATTTATTAGCTTGTATTACTTTTTAGATTGATGAAATAACTAAAAGATAAAATGTATACAACCCTTACAAATCTGAACTCATTTTGTATATTACTGAAGAGATTTACTCGAATACAAAGCATACATACAGTTTCATCAGATATTAACCATGCTGCAAGTGATTAGTTCGTATTGACAGCAAGTAGTATAATTTTAGCAGAAAAATAAGATAATCAATTCCGATAAGTTCTTGATAGTTAAACAACTCAGTCAGTTAATTCAGCTCAGTTCCTTCTTATAGTCAAAACTAGTAAGCTGATGAGGACAAATACGATGCAATTGATTTCTTCTAAATAAAGATTACCTATGTCATACAAATTGTTCTGGTTTGTTCTCACTAATGAATACAAAGTTATTTAAACAAAGAAAAACTATCCAATAGTCAAAATACTGAGATTAGTGAGTCTCTCCTATTTAAATATATATTCTATATTCAAGTAGTACTCTCATATCCAAGTATCCATATGAACTATTGATAGCAATTATTATAATTGATTGAACTTATTTTTCAATCATCAGTTCACATATTTTACCTAGTGTACCGGTTATCAAGAATGAAGTAGAGAGAGAGTTAAGACGACCCTCTGTGCACGGCAACCACTTCACAGATTTATTAAGAAGACAAAGGCTTAGAATATTGTAGTTTTTCGGTTGCTATGTTAAGCTCACATAACTTACTCTGGCTTCTGGACAAGTCAATTCATTCATTTTTCATGAATCACATTTTGACAGCAATCATTCGATAATAATCAGAAACGATCAACTTGGAGTCAGATTAAGGGCCACTAAAATACTAACTATGGATTTTCCGATTTACAAATTTTATTGAATCAGGGCCAAGAAAGAATGAGAGGTTGGACTAAGGCATTGGTAATCCACAAACTCAAGCCCGAACTTTGCGTGCAGAAACTATTCGTCCAACCTTTCATCCTTTCTTGGCCCTAACTCCCTTTATTGTCGCCTTATGATCAATACTTGGAATATTAATAATCCTTTTGGCTACTCTTTTATCGAACCATTTAAAAGCGAATAACTTCATTATATAAATTGTTTATTCACAGTGAATAGTTAGTTAAGCATCATACATCATGTACGTCAATCTGAAGAACTAATGCATCTATGAAAAAATAAAATAAACCTGAAAATAATTGAAATAAATTATCAAGAAATAATGCCGTTGATAAATGAATGAGCTGGTTGTTATCCTATTCATTTGAACTATTCTGTTGATTTTGACAAATGAATATGCTAAGTATCTACCTACCTTTGTTTGAGTTCTCAGAGAATTTGATGACAGAGAATGGGATTCAGTGTTCAAAATTCGATTTGGTTTTAGCTTGTCTAACTGATCACAAGTTTCTTTTGCAAGGTGTAAGTAGGTTTCATCCACCTGATAAACAAATGGTATTAAACGGTGAGAATAGATTGTGTGGAACCTTTGAGTAATTCGTCTGATGTAATAAAAAAATGTTCTTTCCGCTTGACATTGAAAGAATTGCAGCTTTCAAAAGTTACAGTATCTGAAAACATTCAATAAGTTTTTCTCTGAGATGAAATTGTAGTCGCTGATACTACGTCAAGCCCACATAGGTTATTCTAGCCTCTAAAAAGACCAATTTATTCATTCTTCTCAAGCTACATATTTTGACCTTGTTGATTATCCGCTTATTAACCCTGACTGTTTTTATATGATCTTATGTGTGTTAATTGCTTGTCTTATTCATTACGTGTCTGTAATTTATTTATGTTTGAATATGAATATTGAGTCACACTTTATCAGAACGAGTTGGTTCACTTTCCTCCTGCACTGCGCATCCCTTTGTTTCGTTTCACTTCTCTTCCTTCACTTCATTTATTTGATTATTTGTCTGGATCAATGAGTGTATGAAATATACGTATTTAAAATTGATTCTTGTATTTGGCTTATTTTATTCCGTTATTCTCCAAAGTGAATTAAGTCAGTAATTATGTAAGAGGATAGTTGTTATGTGTATTTTGATAACGATTAGCATATGATTTTATTGTGGACCGCGGGGTGGCTACTCTAATTTCTACCGACTGACCAAATTCAGATATCCCAGTACGACCCCAATATTATTCCCCAATCTCTAATATATCAGGACACGAACCGTAGATACAATTGTTTATGGGGTCAGGAGAAGAATAAGAATAGGAATAGGAATAATACTTTACAGACAAATGCATATTTATACAGTTAGGACTACCGTGAATATTGACGAACAGGAAAATGACACGTGAAATAAATATTGGCCAATAGGAAAATGAAACCATTTCACGTTCAAGGATAGCGTTAGAATTAACAAGATAATTTTTGGGATATTTTACTGAATATCCCAACAGATTTAACTGAAGTCAAATATTCGGCCACTAAACAGAAAGAAAAAACTATAGGACAAGTTGTTTATTATCAAACATAAAACTGGTTCTCAAATTTCTATGTTTTATATAAACAAAAATTTGTTGACTAAAGATTGAATGGGGTTTGACTGTTTGGTACTGTGAACAGCACCCCGTTTTCATATTCCCTTTTGCTTTAAACTAGAAAGCATACATTATAATGTTTATCCCTTTCATTTTATAAATCAAATTGCTATTCACTTTTGATAGACGAACTTGATAAACGTGAATTTTCAAAATACTTGGTAATGAAAGATATTTCACATTTGAGTTGTAACTGAATTCGGTCAAGATATTTTCATCTTCTGACTTCTGATTACTATAGATCGTAGGTCTGAACATACACAAAGAGAAAAGCAAAATTCTTCGATACAACACAACATGCACCAATCGAATCACACTTGACGGAGAAGATTTGGAAGATGTAAGAACCTTCACATATCTGGGCAGTATCATTGATGAACACGGCGAATCTGATGCACAGGGGAAGACGCGGATCGGCAAAGCAAGACCAGAATATTTACAACTGAAGAACATCTGTAACTCAAAACAACTATCTGTCAACCAACAACCAAGGTCAGAATTTTCAATATAAATGTCAAGACAGTTCTACTTATATGGCGGAAACTCGGAGAACTACGAAGGCCATCATCCAGAAGATACAAGTGTTCCTCAACAGTTGTCTACTCAAAATAATTCAAGTACGTTGGTCGGACATTATCAGTAACAACCTATTGTGGGAGAGAACAAACCAGATTCCAGCGGAGGTAGAAATCAAGAAGAAGAAGAAGAAGAAGAAGAAGAAGAAGAAGAAGAAGAAGAAGCGGTGGAAGTGGATAAGACACACATCGAAGAAAGCGGCTAACTGTGTCACAAGGCAAGCTCTCACATGGAATCCTGAAGGGGAAAGGAGAAGTGGAAGACAAAAGAACACAATACGTCGAGAAATGGAGACAGACATTAGAAGAATGAACAAGAACTGTGTAGAACTGGAAAAGAGGGTGAAGGATAGAGGTGAGTTGGAGAATGCTGGTTGGCGGCCTATGCTTTATTGGGAGTAATAGGCGTACGTAAGTAAGTGATAAATCGTATAGAACAAAGTGTGCACATCTGTTGGTTTCAACAACATTTATTTAGTCTTCAGTCCATTTTCAAGCTACTTATGTTTCAAATTCATGCCAACAAATATCATTACATAATAATTATGAAATTGCTTACTTCATTTGAGCTTTTGTCTGATGACATTTGTTTCACATTTGACATTTGATTGGATGATTTATTACCATTATCAATAATTTCATATACTCCTTCTATATAAGTTGAATTCAATGCTTGCGGTATAGGAATAAGCTTCAATGTGTATTTAAACTAAAATGTATATAAAACATTTACCTGTAGAGAAAGTATATTGATTCTCGTTAGTTAAATAAACCGTAGATATGCAGTGCCGAGGAGTCCCATACTAGGACGAAACAGCCATCCAGTACTTCCAGGTTGTCAATGATGATCTAGTATAAATCTACTCGCGAATTCAACCGTTAAAATAATACAATCTCCATAAATCTCCGTACTGATGGATAAAATGTGTTTACATTGACTATTTTTTTAAAATTAAAATGTTCAAACCATCAACTTATCATAGTATTGTGAAATACTTGACATTAACAGTGAAGAAGTGGTAGTCAGGCAGTATCATACCCTAATTGTTAATAAGTAACTTTATTTAGTCTGAATTCAGCTGTTTGAAAATTCACAGTTCATACAATAAAAAAGAGTAGTTTGTAATTGATGTTATGTAAGTCATTAATGTTAGATCTGAGTTCTTCCTTAACTAGGATGAGAAAAAAACTCAATACACGATCCTAACCAGTAGTATGCAAAATCTAACATTTGATCAGTAATTTATAATCTGTTAGCATCAAATGTACTTTTTTATTCATTTCTGTTAATTTTTAATATTAAGAATTCAAATATGAATTTACAATACTCATGGACTTAAGAACGATTGATCTACTCTAATATGATCGGTTCGACTGTGTAGAACGGTAATGGGGACTGGCTAACATAAGGGAAAGACTAATTAAGGGAAATCTTGATATTCGAAGTAGAAGAAACAGAACATAACGAAATGTAACAGCTTCGTATGCATAATAACGAAAACATGGTCTTCAAGTGTGAGGAAATTTAACGAACTATAAATAATATTAACCAATTGAAAAACGGCAAACTTTATGTGAGTAATTGGATTCGTAAAGAAATACACTTTTGGTTATTGTTTCAAATAAGATTTTAGTAAAATTTGAGTAATCTTGTAAGCAATTGAAGCTAGACCACCATGGAAAACGTGGAAGCACTGAACGGCCGTTTCGTCCTATTATGAGACAATGGTGGGCGGTGGCACAATTTCGTGGATTAGTTAAAGTTAGATGTCGGTTTAGTGGTCTAGATGTTAAGCGTTCACATGCGAGACCGATAGGTCCTGGGTTTGAATCCCACGGGGCAGGGACGTGGATGCGCACTGCTGAGTAGTCCCATACTAGGACGAAACAGCCATCCAGTACTTCCAGGTTTTCCATGATGGTCTATCTACAATCGACCCATGAATTCAACTAGTGACTTACTAAAATCTCCACAAAAACCTCTTCTGATAATCTTATAATCATCTAAGTTCCCTCTTTATTAATTCATTAAGTTCAGTTAATTTCTTCTCCTTTTTTTCACGATTTTGAAATATGACAACTTTTCTGTATGATCTTGGTGCGACTTTGTACATATTATCATATTTTTCTTAATCTTCCGATCTGACTCTTGAACTGATCATACTATACTTATTATAATTAACTGAATAGTAGTAAATTCTAATAATTAAAAACTTGACTTTTTGAGTGAAATTAAACAACACAATTTTCTGCTTGTAATGAATAATAATAACACCATTAATATCAATTAATAATAATAATGATAATTACTGGTTTCGGGGAACTTGAACTGGTAAGAATACTTAATCTGACATTGATATTAGTAAGTTTTGATGAATCACAAGATGGAGATTGTTCATTGCGGAAAGAGTTCGAACGATGATCAGTCTGAGAATTTGAACCAGCTATTTGAGTGTTTTCGTGATTAGAGTCGTTTGATACTGATAAGTTTATAATCGTTTCCTCTGTAAGCAAAAAAATAAACGACTGATAACAACCATATATATATATATATATATATATATATATATGCTCGCTATTTAGATGTATTAGTTATATCAGAAAATATAACTATAGTGAACGACTAGCATGTAGGGAGTAAAGTCTCCATTTAATTGTTCCATCAAGATCTTCGTCATTTCTTCTAAATTGTATTGACTAACAGTCGAAATAATATAAAAAAGGCTACTTATGATTACGTTACTTGGAAAAGTAATCAATTCGCGCTATGTAAAATAGAAGGATTGGTTTTAATTTTAGCATAAACAGTATCTTCATTACGTGATAAACTTATCCCTCTTTGGTTAATAGAGTTTTTAAATACTGAGGAATTTCCATAGATTAAATAGCAAGTTGACCCGAGCTACATCATCATTAAAGACCAGGAAGCACTGAACAAATATCTCAACCAATATGTGACTTCTCAATAGAGCTTACTCACCAGAAGCCTTGATCAGATCTGTTCAATCATGTAAGGTATGAGATAGTTATCCACCGCAGGCAATGGGAGATGATTATGCAATATTACGATGAGCTATCACTGGTCAAATTCTCAATTGTAGTTTTCGTTAATTCTTATTCAATTTTCAACAAACATTTTATTTTAACCTGACTGCTCTATGAATTTAATAAAAAATATGAAAACTTTCAGAAAATATTTACTGATATCATTTAATAGTCCCAGAGTGAACATCAATTCTGAGATGCAGGTACATCCAGCTGACGAGTCCCAAATAGGACGAAACGCGCTTCCTGGATTCCACTGCTAGCCACTGTCCGTCTTTGCTTATTTAATAGTTATGTTTATTTTTTATCAATAGGCTACGATAACCGATATTATCATTGCTATATCAGAACGAAGATTGAAGGAATGGTAACTCCCAGGATTAATTTATGAATTATTACTATTATTATATTCTTATTGTATAATTATTAAGAGACTAGACTAATATGTATATATCCCCTTTGTCATAAGCTTTCGGTTGACCTATTAACTAATGTTATACGTTTTACTTTTCCTAATTTATTCCCAGTCAATTTTTTACAGCCTCTCCTATTCACACTAATTTTTGGCATGTTTATGAATGATTGTTATTTTTTTAAATAGTGTGAAGCGGTCTGGTCTGTCTGTAGATAAACTACGTCTGTTTGAAATATAATATAGAGTAGAGACTAGTTGCTGACTTCTAGGTCCAAAGTTTTAGTCATGAAGAGCTAAAGATTCTTGGACCAATAGTAACTTAGCCGTCGATTCAGGGTTAATAGTTCTGATCGGGCGTGTACTTGACCAAGCCAGAGATACTAAATCGCAGGAGTAAGTTACGTTAGCAAAATAGATCAGATTAGTATCAGGATTCTGAATGGAGATTTTTCAGGTGATTGAAACCAATGAAAATATCTATTATGAAATCAAAAAGCGAATTTTAGATGGTACCTAAGCTAAATTATAGAACATACTTGCTCTGAAGTCAGACTGTCTGTTAAATTACTTGATGTCGTTCATTGTGTAATTAAGTGATGAATGAAGCTTGATTGTGTTCTCCTTTTCTTACTCTAAATCTCAACCCTAAGTCACTCGAGTTTATAAACAGAAAGATGACAAAGAACTGTATTATAGACGATGTTAGCTCATCAGGAAAGCCCTGACCCTTATTTGTAAACTTGACTCAAAACTCCATTTTAAATCTCGATGCTTAAATCTAACCTGTCTACATTAGAAATGATGCCAGCTGCTGGAAAAAAAACTTTAAGGGGTGACAACCTCAACTCATAACACCATCCCAACTCCTGATGTGTGTGCATACATGTAAACATACCCTTCTTTCTTTACGAGAACGGGTAATTCGGCTTATGAGGGTTCATTACTATGATCAAAGTCTTTGTTCCACCATTAATTCATCACTTTTCATTGTTAATTATTTTATAACTAGGCAACGTTTACTGATCGGCTGTGAAGTTGTCCAAAGTCGTCGGTATATTATACCTTTACACTGATATTAACTTACCACATGATTCAATATGTGTGTTGGTATTCTTGTGATCATTTATCACATCACCAGAAGGAGCTTCATTTTGTTTAGAATTTTCGAATATAACCATTTAGATCTATGGAATAAAATAATCGAATGATTATAATATATATGAACTGTTCACTCATTTTTGCGTATTATTACATTCCTTAAAAGTTATAATTTCTCACGAAAATAAGTAGGAATTTGACAATTTGTCCCATATATTCTTTAATTACTTTAGACAGTTTATTCGAATAATAACACTAAGTCAATTTATGAAACTCAATGGAATGGTGCACGAGTCAATTGATTATTAAGCTGTAGATATCTGATCTGTTAACATATTAGTGATAATCATTGTCATTACTACTATTGATGCTACTACTACAGTAGTGTAAGAGGACTCAGATGCAAGATTACACAGTGGCTTAGTAACATGAAAATCATACGTTAAATACATTATTTTCTCATCTTCTTTCTTTTTTGTCCTTTACAAGCTCCAGTATTCTTCCAATTCTTTTGTTATTTTAATTGCTCTCATGTTTCCTTTCTGTTCTCTTCTATTCTATATTCTGCTGTCAGGCATTCCACTCCCAGTTGAGGCTACATACTACATGTATCTGTCAGCATAAGGAAAATCCACCACAATACTACTACTACTACTACTACTACTACTACTACTACTACTACTACTACTACTACTACTACTACTACTACTACTACTACTACTACTACTTCGGAGTGTGGCACTAATGTCGACAGATTTGAGTAGTACTTTTCACCAATCGAAAGTGGAATGCCTGGTTGAGAAAATCGAAGAGAATGAGGACAGAGAATGATTGGTATGAAAACGAAAGAACAACAAAGTCTGAGACAACTGATGAATATTTTGCAAATGAAGTATTGCTGTATGGTTCCCAGATTTTACGAATAAGTGACTTTTTTCGCTTCTTCTAATCGATCTGAAGTCTACCAATGAGACATTTTATCAGTATAAATTAATGCCCAACGGTTGTCCGAAGAAGGATTGTCAGTGATTGGCGTTCGGATTAGAATTCTTATTTTAATTATAATAAAGAATCTCAAAAATTACCTGTAGATTTCTTATTATAGAGTTGGACTTTTTATATTGTCATTCAATGTCTTTATATATGTAGCTACATTCTCCATCTCTGTTATGGCTCAAAGCAGACAGCCGATTATATGACAGTGACTTATCGATCGGATCAAGGATTCAGAATCTCGATAGACTATTCTGGTCCGTTGTCCCCAACTCTGCTAACTCGATCAAGAAGTCTGTGTAAGGTGTAGAAAGTGTATTCTACAGACAACAGCAGATAACAAGTCAGGCAGGCAGATCAGATCAAGCATACAAGTCAAGCGTATTTATACAATTATTTACAATCGATAGAAAATTTTTAAACATTAATCAATGAGTTCATTAATTGACCTATTTGCGCATTTAATCGATAGTTCATCAATTGACCCCAATAAAAATATCTAACATTTAATCGATAAGATGATCGATAAGATAAATTTTAAAATATGAGTTTGGGGATCTATCGTCCCCAACAATCTCATCTATTTACATCTACTAGTTAAAATGGTTAATTTCATTGATCATAAGTTTATCTAAATAAATAAATATTTATGATTGCTATACAGAGGTGAAGGTTTTCTATTAGAGTGGAGATTCACTATGAATGGTTTGGCATTACTTTATCAAGTTGTACTGTCTATTTATATGCCGAACAATTTAATCGAATTCATTGATATTAGTAGTTGCTTTTCAATGTTCTCAGGAGCCCCTGTCATTCGGTTGGTGCAATGCATATCGCTATTGCTAGTTATGAAGGATTTGACAGTCACGTTATTGGAATAGGTTAAAATTGGCCTCTTCGTACTGTACATAGTTAATTGACGCTATCATTGACCGGAAATAATGTATGTTTATGTACATATAGATGGACATATACAGTGCAAACGGTCCACCGTGTTTCTGGAGAGCTGTATGGTTGAGCCACAGTAATGAGTTGTGCTGTTTAGTTCGTGGTATTAAGACCTGGATGATGTCTGAAAACCGATGTAAAATTACTTTTATCCACAAAGGTATATTCGCATAATTGTAATGACAATAATAATGATAATAATCAGTATAGTATGCTGATAATTATCATGTGCTCACTAGTAACTAGCTTCGACAGGTAGTTCTCGGAGTTTTAGTGAGAAGCCGTGACTAGTGGAGTTCATCCGTTCCGGATATGATGTAGTTACCTACTGTAAGTAATCGATGAATGTTTAAGCAAGATCATAGATTGATTGAAGTTAGACGTTAACACCGTTGGATGCCGGCTTAGAAGTCTAAAGGTTAAGCGTGTGTGTGCGGAACCGAAGGTTTCGGGTTCGAATCCTGCGTGTGGGTGGTTATTATATATTATATTATATATATTATATATTATTATTATATATATTATTAATAATATATTAATATAATTAGATAAACAAGATCAAAAGTGTATTTGACTTACCAATTAAAATAAAAATATAAAGATTAAATGAAGTAGAAATCTTAAAGAGACTAAATTCTCCACTATTCACTGTAGTATAAATACTGAATTCATACCTAAATACATCCTTATCTAAATTATAAACACCAATCAAATATACTCAGTTTATTTACTATAGTGATACATTAACATTATATTCATCATTTGAATTTTATTTAGCCATTTTTTTGAATATTCATATTGTCAACAATCATTTATTGTCCATAAGGTTATGTACTACATTCATAACTAAGTAGTCAATAGTAATGTGTGTAAGTGTTACATATCATACTGTAACTTGTATAAGTCAAGTATATTTAAGTCTAGTGTTCATAATCAATTGTTATATGTACTGATAATTATAGTAACAGTTTATTAAACAAAATTAAAAAAAATACATTTTTGATTGGATTAAATGTTGTGCTACTAATCGGTATTTCATATGAACTTGTTTAACGTTTATATATATGTAATATTGTATACAGTGAACAGCTAGAATGCGGTTGGACGATCTAGACTTCGCAGATGATCTGGTTCTTCTACCACACACTCAACAACAAATGCAGGAGAAGACGACTGGTGTAGCAGTAGACTCAGCAGCAGTAGGTCTCAACATACACAAAAGGAAAAGCAAGATTCTCCGATACAACACAACATGCACCAATCGAATCACACTTGATGGTGAAGATTTGGAAGATGTAAACACTTTCACATATCTGGGCAGTATCATTGATGAACATGGTAGGTCCGATGCCGATGTGAAGGCGCGGATCGGCAAAGCAAGACCAGGATATTTACAACTGAGGAACATCTGGAACTCAAAACAACTATCTGTCAACCAACACCAAAGTCAGAATTTTCAATACAAATGTCAAGACAGTTCTACTGTATGTGGCGGAAACTCGGAGAACTACGAAAGCCATCATCCAGAAGATACAAGTGTTCCTCAACAGTTGTCTACGCAAAATAACCCGGATGCGTTGGTTGGACATTATCAGTAACAACCTACTGTGGGAGAGAACAAACCAGATTCCAGTGGAGTAAGAAATCGTGAAGAAGAAGAGCTGGAAGTGTATAGGACACACATTGAAGAAATCACCGAACTGTGTCACAAGGTAAGGCCTCACATGGAATCCTGAAGGGGAAAGGAGAAATGGAAGACAAAAGAACACAATACGTCGAGAAATGGAGACAGACATTAGAAGAATGAACAAGAACTGTGTAGAACTGTAAAGGAGGGTGAAGGACAGAGGTGAGTTGGAGAATGCTGGTTGGCGGCCTATGCTTTATTGGGAGTAACAGGCGTAAGGAAGTAATATATAATGTTGTAGATCATGGTCATACACTTTTAACTGGATCCTAGTTTCATTGAAATTTATCAACCTCCACAATTTCATACTGATGAAAATTTTATGTTGTCTTTATTTGGAGAAAACAATCACGTGAAATTTCTCCTCGAACCTAAAAGGTGTAAATATTTCAGAACTAACATAAAGTACGAATACAACAGACAATGATGATGGAATAATGGGAACAAAATACTGAAGTTTACCTTCTATGCAAAGTAAATAACAGAATAATTTATTGTTTGTAATGAATCAAGCCTAATGTTGTAGATGAAGTTCTTGGGTGAGTACGTTAGTATCAAGCTCCTACAAACTTTAAAAGCAACTTATATATTTATTTGTAAAACGAAGATTCAAAGAAATCCGCTGGAATTTTTTTACAATTTTTAGAAGTGAGATACTATTGAATGTGTTTTTCGGGCAATATATTATTTGTTAAAACTTAATCTGATATTGATTCGTGCTATTTTTCAGTTCAACATTTCTTCTTGGGTTTCAAGATAATTATCTGGCTTATAGGATGGGAAACTCACAGCTCTAGGGTTATCAGTACATGCTCATCAATAAGGAAGGAAAGGATAACAGCGAATGTCATCTAGTATTACAGAGTCATCAATGATGGTAGTGAGAACGATATGGACCTGTTCTATGGGAGGCTTCATTTTATCCTAGGAAAAAGATTAACCATTCTGATTAGGGGCCGAAACGCCAAGGTTTTAATAAACGACACTCGGAAAGAAAACACCATGGGATGATATAGACTAAAAAGAACGAAGATGGTGGCAACATAACCCATGGATTCAAGCAAAAGTATAAAATCCTGACAATACTATATCGAATATGTGACAAACAGGTTGGAAAAGACAATGTTGTTAACTCACAGCTGTATAGATTCTTATTTTCTCACGAATATTTCATATAATTATGTACAATTTCATTTATTTATATAATGTTTTATATGAATGCGTACACATTTTTGTAGTGTATAAGAGCAGTTAAGTGGATTAATTAAAATATTGTATTACTTGTTGAGAATTCCACACTATACTTTTCGTACAGTACTGAATAAAGTCACTGTTATTATTTGTTGTCATCAAAAGTATTATCTTCTCTGTTTCCAGTTTAGTAAACGTATGTGCGTATGGTATGGGGAGCATTTCAGTGTGATTATTTCAGCATCAAAAAGACATAAGTAGAATCACAGAAAGTCGAATATTCGTCCAAGATTTGGCGAACGTGATGTTTGTGTACAAATATGATTCTTTTGTACATTATTTTGCGGATGATTCGAATTCCAAATACAATACCTTCAATTATGCTCATAGAGTTCTCCCCGACTTGAGTACTGGTCCATACGTAACTAACAGAGTACAAGTTGGACAGTTCTGGGTATTACTAGTTAGCATGCAGAGTTCTATTACTTCTGCTCCAGGATATGAAGAGCTATTTTATGTATTAAATATTTGTTTTCTTATATTCTTAGGAAAAAAAGGTTGCAAATCTCTGTCATCACATCGCTACGAAACTTATTCTAGTCTTTGGGCATTTAAATTGTTCCAATCCTCCTATCTGCCCTACTGTCTATATATTCGTCTTTCTCAATCAATCAAGTGTAACGTTGATCACGCTTTATACGTTTGAGCATAGAAGTGCATGTGTGACCGTAAACTTACTTGTATTCCATTTATACGTATAAAAACTTAGTCACTTATTGCTCATTGAGTTAGTTATTTCTACTCCTATACTTCACGTGCATTTCTTCTCATAACTAATCGTTCACTTACCTTATCGAAAGTCCGAAATATATGATTCACTAATAATATCATATTCGAATTTTTATATCTGAGTTGTTATCAATGGAATTAATTGAAAGAGTATATACGAAGTAAATATGATACATATTTCATTAACGTCGTTACCACACGATAATATAGAGTTAAGGTTATAAATGGATCAATAAATCGTGAAAATTTCCTCAAGGATCAGTCATTTTGCGAATGCAACCGGTTCCTACGAGTTTTTAGGTAATTAGTTGAAGATACAATTCGTCGCAGTTTTCGGGACTTTGTCAATAAGATAATTGCGAAATTATGTTCCGATATTTAATTATATATTGTGATTGTCGTCAACCTGAGAACAGTGTAAAATCCATACCCTATTTGTCCGTATAAGTATGTGAAGAAACCCATCCGTGAATGCTTTTCTATTTGATTATTTCCTTGGTTCATAGTAAATGCGACAATTTCTTGCGATCGATATTCATGTGTTTGTCTCGTGAAACAATAGAACTTTGTCTTATACTTAAATACAAAATTATTTTGGATACCTTAGTCCACATAGTTCATCTTTCTGCTTAGAATCAAGATGAAATCGTAAATAATAATTCTACTTGAACTTGTAGTGACTCACATCTATCATGAGAACACGACTGGTTTAATAAAAACAATTGTACAAGTGCTTGTTTTAATGTGCTTTTGTTTGACTGTGCTAATGACAGCTATATTGTGCTTCCATTCTTATACATACACTTTTGATTGTGACTTCGCGCGAATTCAGTTACGTTCTGTAACCAAGCTTGTATCCTGGTACGATCTCGGTATCCTTTCGATGCCACGAGGTCGCCAGCAAATATATCTCGATTTGGTCCATTAACTGCCTTCTGATATTTGGCTTCTCGGGGATCTTATGGATCTATTTGGTTACGTTCGACCTTCGCCTTCTGATCTACTTGGCACGTGTTTCTTTGTAGCGGTGTTCATAGTTAATCCCAACTCGACGCCACGCTACAAACTCAGTTTTTTTATTGCATCACAGTATAGACGGTTTGCTGTAGACTGTGTTATTCTTGTTTTCACAGCATGCTAAATTGGGTAACGGGCATGTTTCTTTTTTCCTTTTTGATTGTTTCTGCCTGATCTAACAAAAATGATATTACCAGTATTCCAACTCTCTTTAAATGCTCGAGATAATATGAACTTAGGTTCTTCAGTTGCAATCTTTAGTGGGAGTTAGCGTAAAATTACTCGGTTTTCCTCTAAGGGTACACGATAAGGGTTGTATGTGCTATATATAGCTTGGCATTCGTCGACGGAAATAGTTGATGAAGTCCTGAAAAATTACTAAGTTATTTCTATGAATTCAACGGAACACGTTGTTTTATTGAATGTGGATCTTTTTCATTTGGTTTGGTCGCGTCTAGATCTATCGTATGTCCGAGGATTACCAATGTTAATTCTGAAAATAGACTTACTTCGGTGCACGTTTACTGCATCATCATCTAGTCATTCTAACAAGGCTCTCAAATGATCTTCGTTATTTAAACTAGGTACCACTAATTAATAAATCACCAATGTATATTTGTTTGAGAGGCGTGATTTGTAAAGATCTGTTCTTGCACCATCGATATGTTTGTGTAACATTCTTCAGGTCTAGTGGCATTCGCATAAATTAGGACGATATGGATGATATAGTAATATCAGTATTGGGAATATCTTCCTCAGTTATTGCAATTTTGCGGTATGTTCCAACTAAATCGACGTGAATATCACCATTCCTCGTACTTTGTTGTCACTCAAACTCCGAAATTTGAGACAACGTCTATCATCCAAATGTCGCAAATTTTATTCTGATGGAGGCTTGAAGCGTATTTATGAATGTTTTTCTGAAATCTGATTTATTCTGAGTAGTGATGCAAAGCTCTAAACCTGTATCCACCAGAATGATCGTGCTCGAATTCCAGGCTCTAATATACACCACGCCATTGTTTAGGTACACCTTCCAATTGTCACAACATGTGGACAGGTTGATTTTACCATGCTGACTTGGCATCGAACTTCCAGTAATACCAGCATAACTTTTCGAACTTTCATGAAATGATCTGAGGTCTTGTTGCAATAACGAACTGCTCCGTTTTCTGTTGACTGTTCGGTCAACAGACTCTGTGAGTCTCTTACCGATCGAGTTGGTTTGTACTGTGGTTGAATCTATCCATGGTTTCGCACTTTGTGTCATACGATTGTACCAATCTGAATCAAGTGCTCAGTGAGGTAAGGATATCTAGATCTCTTGTAAATCTAAACATGGAGGGCTTGCATCAATCCTTGTTTTAAGACTGCCTCACCCACTACGCTGTAAGCAACTGAAAATTAATGTCTCTTGCTGGAAATTTTCGGATGCTTCAAATGTTCGATAAAGATGACTGATTAATTATATCTCGTCATATTGCTGTGAGTAGTTTGGGTGTGAGGAAACTTAAAATAATTTCAGGAACCCATGTTGTAAGTGATGCCATGTTGCATCTTTGATTCATATATATTTCCCTTATGCTCGTAGTGAAACCGAGTCAGGGATATTTAGGGTGTTTTACGTCTTGAAGAGATCGCAATTATGTCGGCTATATTTCGCAAGGCAAAGCTCCATTGCCTTAAAACATTCCTTGTAAGGTTAAATTTGATCTTCCTAATCAATTTTCCCTCACTGTCGGATAGATTCTAGAGCACTCTTATAATTTCGGAGTGGGGAAGGAAAAAATATATTTCCATGATCTAAATGGTGCCTAGCAGAACTGTTGAAAATTAAGGTGAAAGTTCTATCAAGATGTGATTCCTACAAAGTGTTTGTTTGATTGTATAGTAAAGGACACTTCGTATTCAAAAAAATTGGGCATGTTGGGTAATAAGGAGCAGGTTGATAAACATGTTTATCATCTTCTTGCTAGATGTTGTAATCTTAACGAGGTGAGGATAATTTTCAATTTTTACGTATGTTTAGAGAAAATCGAAAGCTCTTGAGATAGCAAAACTTTACCATGGCGTCAGTGAATTCACAACAGCTAAGAGGTCAGTGGACTTGTTATCAGCTATTTCTGCAGTTATGTTGAAGGTTACTTGGAGTTTAGACCCGATTCTGTACCTGCGTACACTCTTTTGGCGAAAATTCAGGAGGATATGGATGATTTATCAGGAGCCTTAGGGACCTACAAGTCCCTTCGGACACTGACTAATCTCGATAAAAGCACTGCACTGCATGGTATGTGTCTCATTTTCACTCATTAGTTTTAAGCTTGTCTTCTGGCGCAGGAGTCACAAGATATTTCGGAAGTTGAGGTACTTTCTTTACACTTTATAATTGTTTAGTTCTGGTCCGGTGTAGCACAAGACATGTTTCCTTCCGAAAAAATAACATTTTTGTTAAAAGTATTTGTTATTACAGCAATCTCATGTGTCTAGGAAAAAGTCTTGACTCGCGGCGAAAAAGTCCCAGAATTGTTAAAACTTTTGGAATCTCAGTTGGTATGCTATTTCGTCATTTTACCATTTCTTTTCAGCAAAAAGATGAGAGTGATTCCGAAGTCTGTATTCGACTTGTTAACTTGCTTTGCAAGTCAGGATCTATTGTAGATGGATTTTCACGCTGTTTGAATTGCATCAATGCTGGACGACATATCGGTATTGCTGGCTGGTTTCATAACTGCCTGAGTCTTCTGGAAGTAAGTGCCCTCCTTAGTTATAAGTCACGTTTAGCCTGCGAAACTTTCCATCTCTAAAGCAGAACTACCTTTGGAGTCGTTATGTTTGGTTCGTGCAGTTTGTTTGATGGAGTTGATTCGTGTGACATCACAAACTTCCTGTTTGTCTGATATGCATCAGTTACTCATCCAGCTAGAAGCAGTCTCTAGTGAACTTAGTAAATTACAGTCTAAAGGTTCAAGTATTCTTAACGAATTCGCTGTTATTTGGCTTAATTTCTATGGTGGTGTTTATGCTCAACGGCGTTTTATGAATAAATGTACTGAGGTTAGTTTTATTATACAATCTACTAAGTAGCTGACTAGAAGTGTATCATTTTAGCGAATATTTGGTATCTTATGGTAATCTTTCTCAATCCTCAGTAGTATGGAGTTACGAATCATTCGGTTCAGATAACACAGTGCCTCTAGGGTTCATTTCTACTTCAAAGTTGTGAACAGATGCTGGTACTATGTGTTTGAGTAGTTAACTTTCCTAATACACTATTCGATTCAAGAAAAAGTTTCCCTAGATGTAAACAACTTAGTCCCAGTCTTTTAATTGTTTTTGTAGGAATCTCTAGATGGTCAATTGCAGATGAGAGGAATATAAGACGTTGAATTATAAAACAGCCAACACGACCTTAACCTTTGGCGTACAATAGAACTGTGAAACAGAGTTAAAGTGTTTGACTTCTCTTGTAAATTTAATTAAAAAGTGTTTTTATAATTTAGTTACTACCTACATTAATCGCTTTCGTGGTTCATTGTTGGGGTTGGAAGAATTTGCGAATACCTGACGTTACGACAAGGGCGTATAATGCGTGCTCTCTACTTGAGAGGTCAATTCATACAGCTTATGGCTACTTAAAGGAGTTTCAGAAGGTTTTACTAGCAAGTGTCCGACATAGAACGCTTCACAACAATGTGTCAATTAAGGTTGTAACGCAAGAAATCGTTTTTAAGACGTTGGTTACCGAGTTGATTTTAAGTGCAAGTGCTTTATAAGATTCCACTCTCGTATGGATCAGTAACTGTAATGCTAAAGATATTTCACTTAATGATGAACAATTTGTTTCAAAACCTTACTCATTGTTATTTTGCTGCTTAGTCTTCAGATTTTCCACACTTCCTCGCATTCCACTTTTATCAACGTGTAAGTAATGCTCGACAGCCCGATGTTACACCTGCGTCTTCCAATATCTCTGCTTCACTTCGACATCATCTTCGTCGAGAATGTTCTTCAATTTGTACTCAGGCTACTTACCTGGTTCACTTATTTTCAACCTCACTTAATAAAACAAAACCTAATAAGGAGAACGCGATCAGCTTGAATACGTTAACGTGGAAGGAGCTAATTAGTTTGACTGATGAGGTTGTGTTATCTGAAATCTCCACATTGGATATATATAGTTTTGATAAAGATGACCAGAAATCATCCAAAACCTTTGAAATGCATGGTTCCCTTGACGGTAAGCTCCAAAGGTCTAACATTTTATAGATTACCAGATCTAACTAATTATTGTATTATCTGACCGAATTTTTTTCCACTCAGTCCGAAAAAAATATGCAATTCACATAAGCTCCAGTTTGTTTTATTTTGCCGATACCCCTCTTTTCAATGTCAATGCCATATGTAACGTAACGACCTAGCACAAATATGTATCGGCTACACTACATCATGTCATAGATGCATCAGCAGTATCAGCGATAAGAAAGATTAATCAAAAAACGGTTCGAAGAAATAAGTTTGTGAGGTAAAACGTTTAAAATAATTTTAAAAATCAGGATTTTGTGGTAAGCAAAGTGAATACATCTACATATATCACCTATTGTCTCCAACCACAGTAGTTGCGCAGACTTCAACCAGGTAGTTTACATTTATCAACATGACTCAAAGTAGCAGTCAATGTCAGTCACATGCAACGTAAAGCGTAGTAGTTGACGCATTAATACCAAGCCTTGGCTTGGTATCCCCTAGCTTTTTTCAACCTGCATCTATGTCAACTAACATTGTCTTCTTTGTAATCAATAATTTAGCCTAACTTTGTTCTTTCAGTTGTTGTAGCATTAAGTAAGAAACATAATACTGATGACAGGAATTCTTTATGTTGACTGCTTTTTAGCTTGTACAGCAAAAAGCTATTTATTAAAATGTGCCTGGTTAGCGTATGCGTTGGAAAAAGGCTCGTACAATAATAATGATTATAATACTACGTTCAATTTTTGATGTTAATTTATTCATCCGTCGGTAACTGTCCAACCCAAAAGTTTAGGTGTATATTCAGAAACCACATTTGCCAAGTAACACTAGTGATATACATATATGAATTCTCTTCCATCCTTTTGCCTAAGGTGTTGTATACCATACAATATAATCGAATGTTGTACATCTTAGAGCAGGCTTTTTGACTTTAGTACTTTGTTTATCCATTCCACTATGGACTGCTCTAATTTTCAATGCGATTATTGTCTGTTATTGCGTATATGTTTCTCGTGCAACTTTGACCAGTTTTTAGGAATAGTTTTTATTTAAGTAATTTGTCGAATTTTTATCCAGAAAATTTTTCCTGTCTTCAGAATACTTAACATCCCCTGATTGTTTAAATCTTATACTGTGGATTTGTGCTCAACAGTTATCATTCTTGAATGTAAGTGACGAGGATTTTACTCTCAGCTTGCCTAGACTGGAATTTCTGCTTAAATGTAAGTTCATTTACTATCACCCCATAGGTCTTAATCGAACTGTATTTAAATATGTTGTTTTAGTTTTCGCTACTATTAAAACTACGAAGTACTTGAGTGTTCACCAAAAATTTTCTGTCAGTATTATTAAATGTGTTTAATCATTTTAGACGCGAAGTGAAATGCAATATTCCTTCAGTTTTCTGTATCTCTAGAAGTTGTGCAACTTGAATCTGTTACTCAACCGCCTATAGAAGTATTTTCGATGATAATCTGGATAATTTTCATTGTCTTACCATTTGTTATGAACGTAGAACCAGACGTGATGTGCGTCGTCACAAATTATTCCACAAACGTAAAACTGTTCAGGAAAGATACGTGTATGAAGTAATGTGTCTTGTCTGCACAGGGATTTAAAGTGTAATTGCATCTGCTGTACGATGGCATTTTAGCCGTTGTCAACTGAGGGTTCGACTATTGATTTTAGTGTCTAAATCACTTACTAACCCTCTATTTCGAGAATGCGGTGTAAGATGTTACGTAGTGTGCACTATTCTAACTCATTTAGAAACTACAACCTTATATATACTTCACTTTGGATTACACTTTTTGTAAGTGCTAATGTTACTCTTTGATTGTTCAAACCGGAGCAGGTGTAGTGCGGTTTTGATGTTCGACTTAATGGTTAAATGTCGAATGTTGTAACCATTACTGCGCAATTCGACAGCGTAGATACTTGGGCTTGGGCGTTCGCTCTGTAGTTGAAGTATCCAGCGTTCAACCATTGGATCGTAGGTTAAGGCACGACCTCACCCACTTTATTCTGGGCAACTGAATAGCTTCACTAGCTGCTAGACTTGAAAAAAATGTAGTTCATAGATGATTACATGAATATCTATACATGGTAAATAAGTCCCATTATTTAAGTTATTTATCATTATTTAATGATGCTTACACTAATACTGCATATTTTTTGTATCAGTAGTCATTTACTAATCACTTGTTCTTACAAACTTTTGAATATATCCATGCTACTTGTGGAGCGACATCTATTCATTTTCAATTTCACATTATTATTCAGATTTCAAGCCTATTGATTTTTAGCACATTTAGAGGATGATCATTAGGATTTATAAAATTTGATTATAATTACTCAAATGCACATTTGTGTAAATAGTATCTTACTAAATAATATTATTTCAGTCATAGTCATTAAATGATATTTTAAATGTTCAATATGCCACTATCAGTATTATTATTTCTATATTGCTCTTTTTGTTAACTTCCCCTTGTTATGCTTCTGAGAATAGTGGTAACTTGAATTAGTACACAGTTATAAATTAACAACCATAGCAAAAATAGTATAGGTACATGGAATGTCCGGACAATGTGGAAAACCGAGAGGACTAATCAGACAGCTACGGAAATGGGGTGATACAACTTAGCGGTGTTCGGAATCAATGAAACCCAAGCTAGACAGAACAGGTTAGATTCTGGAGAGATGCTGCTGTACTTTGGCTACAAAAAAGAAAATGTTCCATACACTCAGGGAGTTGCTCTGATGATGTCCAAAGAAGCACGTAAAGCATTTGTAGGATGGGGATCTCATAGACTCAGAATCATCTAAGCATCATTAAAACAAATAAGGAGGGATTCACAGAGAATGTTATCCAATGTTGTGCACACACTAATGATAACGATAACAACGATAAGATCAGTTTTCCGAGATGCTGCAACCTATCATAGCAAAGTGCTCAGCAAAGGACCTGACCATCCTGATGGGAGACCTAAACGCTAAAGTCGGGATAAGCAACAATGGCTATGAAGATATCCTTAGACGACATGGACTGACTGGGAGAAAAAAACAAAGATGGGGAGAGGTTTGCATATCTATGTGCATTTACCAAAATGGTTACAAGCGGCACTGCATTCCCCCCACGAACACGTGCACAAAACTGCTTGGGTCTCACCGGATCACACTACAAAGAACCAGATCAATCATATTTGCATTACTAAAGAAAACCACAAGGTCAATTGAAGATCTGAGAACCAGGAAAGAGCTGACGTGGCTTCAGATCACTACCTGGTGGCTGCCAAGGTGAAACTGAAGCTAAAGGAGCACTGGACAACTGAGAAAACAGCATTACAAATGTCCAATAAAGCCGTCCTTCGAAATACTGAAAAACTCAACGAATTCAAGATAACTCAACAACAAGTTCCAAGCCTTACTAGATCTACTCAAAGACGAAGAAACAATTGTCTACGCAGGATAATCAATGTCCGTTGGCCGGTTGCCATCAGCAACAGGGAGATAATAAACTAGCTTCCAGCTGAAGAAAAAGTTACGAGAAGAGGTTGGAGGTGGGTAGGAAACACATTGTAGAAACCATCAAATTTTATCATGAGGTGAGTCATGACTTAGAATCTTAAAAAGAAACGGAAAAGAGGAAAACTTAGGAACACACTGCGTCAGGAATCAAAAGCAGATACCAAAAAGATGGATAGCAACTGGAAAGGATCGCCCGGGACAGAGTTCGATGGAAAATGCTGGCGGTCGGTCTAGGCTCTTTCACTAGAAGTAACAGGCGTAATTAAGTAAGCTATGACTTATCAGCCCTGTCAGGTGATAAAAGCGTCAATTGGAATTCGTTTCAACAGTATGTCAACGGCTAATTTCGTATTGGTCTTCGATTCGGTAGCTTCTCTCCCTGCCCCGCCCACTGAGTTCAGGAAACAGTAATCAACCTCCACTATGCGAATACTACATTCAAGCATACGTAGTTTACATACAGACATAGCCGACCACGTCACATCATAGAATAAAAGATAACAGTTATATATGATCAAGCCAAAAGTGGCTTTGGCTAAGGGAGATTACAAATAGTAAATTGGCAATAGACTAAGAACAGTAAATCGCATAACAGTAGTTAGTGAGTCAACTGAAAGCTTATGGCCATATATATGTAATTGTCCATAAATCAGTCTTGGAAGTTATCATTAATTTAGTCCTCATTCGGATATAGCACACACTTGTGCAGATTCTATGTTGTTTATGACTACCTGACTGACTAACTTATCACCGAAAATGTAAAGATATCGGTTCTGTGTCCTTTTTACATACATTATAAAAACTAACTGATTTCATGCTTCGAAAGTTCATATAATAATTTATTTTTTACTAGACTTATCTAAACTTATCTAATTCTTTACAGCGGTCAAAAAACTATTTCCCAAGTTGGAGTTTTCTTGTCCATCACCTGTTTTTGGATCACCTTCTGAGCTTAAATCTGATTCAACCGCAAATGTTGATCAACTTTATCAAATCGACGTAATTTGTTTTCTGATCACCTGTTTTCTTCATATTTCTACACGAAGTCTTTCCAAAACAAACTCAAATTACGCACAATCTCTTAGGTCACAGTTAGCATTTAACTCAACCATTTCAGGTGTCGGACTCGATTTTCTCTTCCTGCCTTTGTGTTTGATACCTACTGTGCAACTTGCCACTTCTACACAGCGTTCATGGTGGTCATTACTTACCAAGAATACATTAGAATTTAGTTCACAGTACGTTTGGCTTTACTTCAGTAGTATAATACACTATGTTTGGTTCTAAGTTCTCTTCAATATAACTCTTGAAAAAATATATCCTAATGTCGATACCTTTATGCCAGATTTAATATAATTGTATTTAAAAGTACAATTGAAATCAAAAGTTGTCAACCAATTAACTTCAATCTCACTTTTTTAAAATTTTGATTCACTCACCTGGCACAGAGTCGTATACTTGGTTTCGAGTCACTTTCAAAATGTGGTGGAAGCTAATAATATAATCTGGTTGCCCAAACTGTTATGTTGTTGGAGCGGGATTCGAACGTAGTACTTAGTAACTGAGGGTTGGGGGGCTTGGCCAATGAAATGCCGCTCTATGAACTAAGTAGTAAATTTTCTGTCGAAATATATTGGGGCGCACTAAAATCTTTGAATTTTAATGCTTCCAGGGAATCTACATTCATTAATGTGTGAACGATTACATGAACTTAACGCCTACATATGTTTTACTGTTAGAGATTTTGTTTGACATCGTCTGCAGTGGTTATCATTTAGTTGGTGTTCAAACATTAATTTCCGTCTTAAAACTAGTAGAGCATCGTTTCTCCTCTGTCGGATCGGAAAATCGCTGTTATAAAGGGTTAGTTCTAGCATTTATGACGAAAGTATATATTTTGACCTCCAAATGCCCTGTTACAGCCAACAGTGATAAGCCACGCGTTTATAGGTACTGCTAGGGAAATCCTATTCTGCTTTCTCATGGCGCGGGTGTTGTTTACTAAATTAAGAGGGCAAAAAGTGAATATCCAGTTCTTAAACCGGGTTGGTGGGTAAGGGGGTCCAGCTAGGGGAGTTGGAAAACTCTGATTACAAACCAGTGATAAGCATAGACTCCATGTTTCTGATGGAACAGATGGAGTATGAACCTATTCTTTGTTCCCAGCCACCATGGGACTGCATTTCTTAACGTTGCTCCACTGCCTTGTTGTTTAGACTTCTAAGTCAAACGCTTGATGAGTGACTCCCGCTCCGGCTTAGGCACCCGGGCAGTATTCCAGCCCTCACAAATTTACTGATATCTACTTTGTGTGACGCGTATATATTTTAGTACCTTTTACGTATTAATGTTTATGTTTAAATAAATAAACAAACGAATTGAGTTGTTTACATTACGAACAATGTTTATCAATAAATATTACTCTCTGATACGGTATGATTGACTGGTAACCCACAAAATCTCGTTACATGCTCATGTGTGACAATTATTGGATGCAAGAATAAACATGACCAATTATTTTTGTAAACATCAAAAGGTACAAGTTTCATGGGTTATTCATGATCCAGTGAAACTAAAACCTGACTCTCTAGTTTGGTTCTTGGTTCACTGTAGCAATCGTTTGTATCAAGGATTTATTGTATACATTTGATTTGTTCACATTTTAAACATCTGATATTGTTATTTTCGTTATTCCTGTGTAAAATTGCAATTGTGTGTTTCATTTCTACAGGAATAAATTGGAGGACGATAATCGTGCGTTTTTTCAGTGTGGTCTAAATCAACTACGACTTATATTCCATCCTACTCGCTGTCTAAATTATGAAGGTGGTATTATGAGTCCACCTTTTTTGTTTCGAGTTGCTCAAGGTCTCACTAATTTAATGAACTATTGTTCATTCAATCGACTGGAAACTTTCGAATCATGGCCTTTACAATACTGGTTATTTGCTTTGAAGAATCATATCTTAGGTTTTTCAGCTGAACAAAGTACTCCAGTCATTCAATCACACAATGCTTCTTTTTGTTCGGGTTACAAAAAATTTGGCACCAATCGTTGTTTTAGGTAAGTTTTTTTTCTATAAATATTAACTAGATAACTGTGACATTTATTTATTCTGGATTTTAATACTTCTCAAAATAATCTATACATTCCTTGATAAAAAAAATAAAACATCTCTTGTTATTTCATCTTTATTATGGGAAAATGTCGAGATTTCCAGAGATAAACTCCACTTGCCCCCTTTCCTTAGTCTAATTAATCTTTAGTGATAATCAATCAAAACTTGAATTTAAGAAATAACCATACCTTGGGTTATGTTTGTAAACTAGCTCTTCAATACATTTCCACCTAAGTTATCTCATCTGCTAAATCTAGTATTTCAACATTTAACAGTAACGTAAATGTAAGGAAATTAATTTGGCTATTGTAACTTGTTCTCATATTTCTAAAAAAACGGACAACATATTACCGCTTGTATGCTCATTTCTTGGCTATCATTTCGTTTGATAATTATATCCATTTCAAGGGTATATAACAGTTAGTGTCTCATATGAATGCCCTCAAATAATTACTAAACTTTCAGATGCCAATGGTTATTTTTATAGCATTATATGATTCTTTTATCAGATATCATTATCACAATCAAAACGTACGGTTAATATTTGTTCATAATTATTTGACAGTCGAATGTAGTACAAGCAGTGCTGTGTTCAAGTATTTATTGTCTATTTTTTTAGTATTTTTTATTGTATGTTACTGATTTTAATCATTTGATTTTCATATCAGTCCTATGGTGAATCGAAATATGCAGTGCAATAAAACAGAATATACTGGTTCTCATATCTTGTTTTTAATACCGTCAAATTACAACAGTTGGTGTGGTGTTTCAAATGATTCAAAAGACATCTCTTCTTTATGCATTGAATGGTGTAAACGGGGTTGGTTCTGGTGCTTAAATACTATTGAAGATTATTTTCAGGCAGGTCGTGAAGTAAGCAATAATGATAAAAAGCTTGTGAAATTACTTAATCGTTTGAGTGATCATGATTCGTCGATTTGTGACGCGACAGCCTATTCACGTCTGAATAAAATTCTTGTTCAGTTGTCAAAATCAAATGAATTTACTAATCTTACAAATACAGAATCTCCAAGAATTAATCATGACCAACGAGTCAAAAGTCTACAGTCAGACCAAAATTGTTTGCGGGTGTCACGAAATGCCTATCCAGTAAACGAGTCTAATGTTTATAATTCTGTTTCATCAGTTCTCAGTAGTTCAGTAAGTTAATACACTTATATACGGGGAACAATATTTGTTTCAATATACAAATTTTTATTTTTATTATATTCTACTGTTCGTACATCTTCTTAATGGACATAATTCTGTATATACTTTGTCTGCATCACCCTACTGCTGTATCTTCTGTCCTACTTGAAGATCATAACTACTGAAATTCCCACAAAAGGAAGTAAACGTACGGATGACTTGTGGAAATGAAGATTTACTTACTCTGTAAAATAACATTCCCAAAACTAAAGTACACTCATCTATATACTGGTTCTCACACACGTACTATCGTCACATATAAGGAAATATACATAAATTACTGCAGAAACACAGAATATAGTTTACCTTAATCAGTGCAGTGAATATTTCACGTTGAACGTGTTGTGACTTAAAATTCCAATCGATATCACTTGTTATATTACCTAATCATAGATCCCGATTAACGATTAGTTCACTTATGAGCAGGAGGATCGATTTTTTAATTCACGAACTGACATATCAATCGATGTACAACACTCAGGACCTTGAAGCTTATTGGTCCTTGAGCTCCTTCCAACTCAGTAGCCAGTCAGAAGACGCAGACAAGAAGCAGATTTGTTCTCTATCTTAATCATTTCAATTCATTACTCAAAACACATACAAATAATATACTTAAAATGAATGAGCACACATCTTACTAAGTTAGAAATCATACCATAAGGAATAGAGAGCTAAACAAGCAGTACATAATTAATTAACAATAACTAAAGGATTGTAAAACCTATAGCGACATTCAATAGATCCACTAAAACCTTACAATAGGAGGTATATAGAAATCTAACAACATTGTTGTCTACTAACGAAGCAATAAAAATGTAGATAATGATGCGAAAAATAGTTACAAAAGTTCACACTCGTCATATTGAATGAAATTTATACTTAATCGATACAACAATATTAACCTGAAATAACGTCACATTGAACGAGAATTCACAGGTGTGTCATGCTGGATGAACTTCATACTGATCTGAAACAATACCACATTTTTATTCTTTCATAACAGTATACAAGAATTTGAGCTAGAATTAAAGCATAAATAAAAGTGTTACTTTTATGACCAGTCAAACAATAATAGATAAAATTCAAGATTATCATGTACTAGTGGTTGAAAGTTGTTATAAAGTTTTCTCCATTTTCCATTTATTTGATAGATTGGCAACGAATGTATTCAACTATTTACAACAAGTTATCCGGAAAAAATTCTCAAAATATTATTTATGCATATATATACATATTATATAAGCCTGTATTTAGGAGGTAGGACACTTGCCCGTGAATTCGTAACACATCTTCCTCTCAATGTATAATATATATGCAATATCCGGTATTTTCCTGTTCATTTGGTGATTAAATATCTGCATCTAAGTGCATCATTTTCGCTGAACATTTTATTGCAAACTCTAACGCGTCCAGCAAGTTGGGTTACACTACACTGATGCGTCCACAGAAGACACGTAGATACCTTTAGATGGTTAAAATAATGTCTTCAGTGAAAATTATACTTTTAAATGCAGGATTGATAGACTAAATGAACGAAAAAACACTCAATAATGCTAGATATCACTTTTGTTGAACATTTGAAAAAGCTGGTTATCCTTAAATGTAATATATCTTATCTAGAAGTGTTGTCACGTTCTATTTTTAACTGTTTGTAATGTGAATATTTAAAAGATGATAGTAAGAACTTAGTATAATCACGTCCTTTTTTTACGGCATTGTAGGATACAAAAGAAATGCCTACTATAGTTTCACCTATAGTTCAAATGAACAATTCACATCTTAATTCATGTTCTGTTACAACTAACAACAATGATACAGAACATTTACAAGTGAATGCAATGAACAGTATCAATCAAATTAAGACTCCTTCACAAACTTTCATATCACCTTCATCGGTTAATACTCCTATTCGTTCAACTTATATAACAGCAGAAAATCCTAACCATAATGTTAACTCAACTCTTACTTGTTCATTAACAGAATTTTGCAAATCACTACAAAATGCTACTGGTGTACCATCTGTTAATCAAATGACAACAACAGCTTATCGTCAGGTAGATGAATTTCTTCAAATAAATACTTTGCATCTTTTTTCTTCTCTATCTTCTCTCCTTCTTTGTTTACCACGTGATATGATTTTGTTAATTTACTTTGTTCACAGAATAGTTAAATCTTTTTCATTTCTATGTAAAATACTGGTTGTAATATTGTTACTTTCCTTTAAAATAATTAATAATATTATAGTAAAAAGAACACGATATTTTCCCCTTTGTTTGTACTTTTTGATTGAATTGTTTGATGTGCTTTCATAATGACTGTATGCTATCTATTACATAACAGTGTGTTTAAATCTTGATTCTGTTTTTTTTCTCTTTTTTTCATTTTATTATATTTTAGGATTCTTGTCTAACTAATCTAATCAGTGTTTGGCAGACTTTAGTCAGTGGTCTGTCTTGTCAGTTAGCTGAAACAAAAGCTGAACTTACACGTAGTCGAGAGCTTAATGAACAGTTATCTAAGCAATTAAATGAGACTAGCAAACAGCTATCAGATGCAGTTAATAAATTTATTGAATTTGAAAAAAATAATCGAATTGTTTCAACTAAGCCTTCAATTGATATTACTGCACCACCAGGAGTTAATATGTTTGAAAATCCAATCCGTGAACTTTCAGTTGCTATTACTGAACTTCGTCATTGGCTTCCAGAGAGTATGGCAGCTGCTGCTTGTGCTGCTGTCGATGCGCGCTTAACAACGTCTGTTCAAGCTCCTGTACCACCGTGTAGTCAGTATCAATTATCAAGTCATTCAGAAGTATTAATACAGTCAAATAATACGGGTATTTTTCTCATGTATCTTTTCTAATTATTCGATTATTTCTTAAGGTTTTTATTACCAATAATGAGTGTTTTTTTGTGCTATCATTCGTTCTTTAGATCAATAATTGACACAATGAAATCCTATGAACATTCTTGTTTACAATCAAAAAGATTTTGGTGTATTGATTTTCGAAAACTTGTCACAAAGTTTAGTGTTTTCTTTTTTTCTTCAAAAAAAATTCTTTTACAAATAAGTTTTTTATAAGTATTGAGCGTATCAACTGTACTGGTGCTTAACACAAATTCCTATATTGGTTCTATCTGTCCTAACAAAAAAAACCACATCAAAATTATGTCAAGGATTACAAACTTATTTTCTGTTTGTTCCGTATATTGAATGCATAAGATTGTCAAATCTTGTAATGTAACATAGTGCAAAACAGTTATAACCGTAAAGAAACAATGTAGCTTTTTTCCTATAGGGTAACACTCTCGAATTGTTACGAATATAGAATTGTCAAATAGAATTTATGCAAAAACAAATCAATATAGATTAAAATGAATTTCTGTAACATTATTCAATGTGATAAACTGTGCTCATGAACTTCCTGTCTACTTTAACTAGGATTTCTATTCAGTGACAAATACTCAATTCATAATTTCTAATCATTATAACTAATATATAATAATGATATATAATACACTGATTAAAGTTAGACGTCAACGTCATTGAATGTTGACTCTGGTCTAGAGGTTAGGCTTTTCGCGAGCGAGACTGAAGGTCATGGGTTCGAGCCCTACGTGCTGGACCGTGGATACCCATTGCTCATATACTAGGAAAAAACGACTGTTCAATGCTTCTAGGTTTTTGATGATGATCTAACTTGGGTCAACTTGTGATTTCATCTATGAAAATACTACAATCTTCATAAATCTCTATACTGATAGATTATAATCGATTAACTTAAATGCATTTTCAATTTATATACTTGGGTCATCGCCAAGGGATCGACTAAAAGTAGTTTTGTTCATTGTATTGAAGTTGACAGTTGTGAAAGTATATTAGTATAGTGCGTGAACGTACTATGATTATATTTGATATTTATTTGTTTTATACAACATTTTTAAAATTGACCCTCAGTGTTTTTGACATATTGATTACTTGTTTCTTATCGGATTGTTTCTTAACAAACGTCAGAATATATATCTTGTTCCATCTTCTACTTTTAAAGATTCTTTGTAGTGTATTCATTTGTGCGAAATAATCACTTTATTCAGTCTTTTCGGAAATAGACATCGTCAAAAATGCTTGACCCTAAGTTTTCTAAACAATTAGTTAACTAACATTTGGTATAATTGTTATCAAACAACTTCCATTTCTTTCATAATTGTCGTATTCTTAGTTTAGATATATTATAACAGAATTAACAGTAAAAAATAACTTGATATTATGTTTGATTTTAGATAATCCTTTTGTCGTTATATCTATTGAATCTATCAATAGCTTTGTTAGTAGTAATTTTAAGCGATGGTCAAAATCACATCGTGATATTTTCTTTGGATTTAGGTTACTACTGAATTGTAAAGATAGGTTTCTTCAATTGTTACATAATAAGTGAGATTAAAAGTTTAAAACAACACGAACCTAAAATTTCATGGGCGATTTGCCCATTGACTAGTTTGTGAGTAGTTATTCACACTTCCGTTGTCAGTGCTATGCTGATGTTTAAAGCCCCCAGGAGCTGAAAAGAGATTGTTCAATCAGCAACGCTCAGTGAAAAAGTTTCTAGAAAAACTAAAGATTGTGTATCACATTCTGATCGGATCATTTCCTATTTGGTCACTAAATTAGGCGTTTTCTCAGACTTCAAGAATGTCAAGATCACTTCACAAACCTAAAAACACAGAAATCAACTCCGAAAGTAAAGCTTCTGCTCATAATCCTTGCCTTTTGTTGAATGTTCGGAGTTCAAGTGTACAAAAATTGTGAGGGATTAAGAAACGGTCAAAAAGCCATTATGAAGCTTTTGAGTACCGGATATATCAGTTCATAATTAGGCACTACATATTTTCAACTAGTACATGTTTACTTCATACAATTTCACATTTTTTAAAAGCCAAATCTGTCCAAGAAAAACCAAAGCTCAGTACTGTTATTTCGTCACCCAAATCAAAAGATAAAGATTTCGAACAATCTCCTGAGGCTTATGAACCAGATGTACATTTTACACCCGTCATAGAAACACTTCCAGATCTTGTTGAATTGAAAAACGAAGAGGAAGATGAACAACGTCTATTTTGTGAACGTGCTCGTCTATTCCATTGGGATAAGTCAAGTGGGAGTTGGAAAACTCGTGGACTTGGTGATGCTAAAATTTTAAAGAATCCAAAAACTGGTAAATGTCGCTTAGTTATGAGACGTGATCAGGTATGTATGTGTATTCTTATTAATTTAGGTTACATTTATTGTGTTTTTGTTCATTCAGTATCTCATTGTTGGATGTTTAGATATAGCTTTTTTATATCGTTCACATAGCATTCCTTTTACAACAAATCCCATGCTATTAGCCTTTTAAAGCAAGTTTAGATGCCATAATCAAATTTATTTGTGTTAACATATAGTTTGAAAATAGTTGTTTTCATTGTTGTACCAGATATATTTTACTAAACACCATACATTAGTTGCTTATTTCTAGTTTTCCTCTTCATTTTTTTAGGTGAAAAAATTATGCGCAAATCATTTTATTACTCCTTCAATTAAACTAACTCTTTCAACGAAAGATCAAAAAATGGCTATGTGGACAGTTAAAGATTATTCAGAATCTATGGAGGGTATCGATGAATTGTTTATGATTCAATTTAAATCACCCGAAATACTTAATGATTTTAGTAGAATCTTCTCTGAATGCACAAAAGAAACCAGTATTGTAAATACATCCGTAAAGTTAATATCTGATACTGTTAATAAATCACCATTCAAAAATGATACTACTGTTGGTGTAAAATCATCAGGACCTGTGACAGAAAGTGTTCAATCAACTTTGAATGTTAATTCTAAGCCATTAAAAGTAGACAAATCGAAAAACACTGTTCAATCGACCAAACCGTCATCGAACATAGACCTGTCAAAGTTTGCTCCTAAATTAGATTCATGGGAATGTCCAACTTGTTTACTGTATCATGACTCGTCTATTACTGTGTGTTCAGCATGTCAAACTGCTAAACCGGGCTCTTCAGGAGAACATTCAACTGTTACTTCTAAATCTACTCTTTCAACATCTTTATTTGGTGGCATTTTACAAAATACTGGTGGTTTTGTATTTGGAAATCCAAAAGGTTCAGAGTTCATGACTACTACCACTAATACTACTTCTACTACTACTACTAATGCTAATATTACTGATTCTGTTGCAATAGTCACAGCAACAGTTACAACGTCAACAACACATAAACCTATATTCAGTTTTGTTGCCACCTCTCCTAAGCAACTTACAAATGTATTTCCTTCTATATCATCATCTCAGACACCAGTAACAAAGTCGTTCCTTTTTACTTCTCCATTCACTACGAACTCTTCTACATGCGCACCATCGATCCCTACGTTTTCTACTCCTTTAACATCCAGTGCGTCAGCTGACGAGAAGAAGACAGTTGCACCCAGTTCAGGATTCACTTTTTCTTTTGGTAACGCATTATCTAAACTGAATGAAACGAATAAGCCATCGACAGTTAATTTTTCAACTCCTACTCTTAATAGTAGTCATCATAACGACGATAATGATGACGATAAAGTCGAACTTCTAGATGATTCGAAGTTGACATTTAAACCTGTGCTTGAAGTTATGCCACAAAAGATTGAAGTTGTAACCGGAGAAGAAAATGATGACGTTATATTTTGTCGTCGCGCCAAACTTTATCGTTGGGATAATAACACCTGGCATGAACGTGGAGTTGGTGACTTAAAATTACTTCGTTCTACGATAACTGGTGTAATACGTTGTTTGATGCGTCGTGATCATGTTTTGAAAGTATGTTGTAATCATGTGATCGGAGCTGGTATGCATTTAAAACCCATGAACACTGGAGGTGGTCGTGCTTGGAGTTGGTGGGCTATCGATTATTCTGAGCAGTCTGATGAAGCTAACAAAACTACCGAAACTGACTCGTCTGATTTGGTTGGTGGGGGTAAACGTGAGACATTTGCAGCTCGTTTTAAGCTTACTGAGGATAGTGATGAATTTCGATCACTTTTCGAGGAAGCTGTTCAAACGGCTGAGAACCGTGCCAAAACATCTCAGTCAAGCGAAATAAAACTGTCGAATAAACAAACAGTGGATCTAGATCAAAATGGTGATGATACGGACTCTGACGTAGTTGTCGTTGAACTTCCTTTAAAGGTTAGTTCAGTGTTTATTATGCTCACTATAAATCTGTTTAACAAACATAGATGACGTGTTCTGAAATAATTTATCCCATCGTTTCGTATTTTCAAATGTTTATAGTTTCTAGTGTATAGTGTACTAATGTGAGGTGTTGACACATGTTATTTTCTTAAGATATATTTAAGTTAACTTGTAGATTAAAACTTTCTTGGCCCTCTCCCTCCACAGCTACATTTCGTCTTTTATACTTATATTTCTAGGTCTCAGATGATCAATTATCTAGGGCTCGTAAACTTAAATTACCTGATGAATTTTACAGTTTTGAAAATGGTCACATAACTGGTGAATCAGAGCATCTTACAGCACGAGAAGAAGCCGAAGAAGATGCACTATTAGAAGCTGCTGTAAAAAGTAACAGAGACAGTGGTACTACTACTACTACTACTACTACAGAACATTCAGATAGTGATTCTACTGTTAAACTCACACCGACTTCTAAACAGCAAAACGTAACTACCGAGGTTCAGTGTACAAAAGCAGTTACAGGTAAGCGTTTGTTTTGCAAATCCAACGAAAGAACCAGTTTCCTTTTTTAAATACATATTCAGCAAGCTTATGTTTTATCAACGGTCTTCGTATGTTTAGTCTTCAATATTTAAGTAATAAATAACACATATGTTAAGTTCCATATCTAATGCGATTGAAAAATGTCAATTACTTTGGACATGAATTTCTGTGTATTACTCATAGTGCTGAATTGAACGGCAAGATGATCAGATATAGGTTGGAATATTAATAACGCTGGAATAAATCTTGATTATTTTTAATAACTAGCTAAATCATAGTTGCAATTGTATATACAAAACTATTATGAACTCATTTGGAGGGGTACAATTCAGTCAATAAAATCATTTTTTGCTTATAAATTTTTTTTCTGATATTCTCTGTTACTGTTGTAACTCATTGACTAAATATCTATATACTCAGCTTTAAGTGAGCTACAATGTTTGTATGATGGCTAGTGATATTATTAGGTATGGTTGGCCAAATCATTGCACTTGAACCTGAGTTGGGAGCCAAGGGTTTTAATCATTCAACTACCACTGATATCTTCTATATGACAAATATTTTCTTGTTAGATCACTAAATCATGAGAACTGTAAATAAGTATACAATATTAACAATACAGTGTGATTGAATAGTTTGTTTTACTGCTCACAATATCTTTACATTTATTTATTGTAACGATGTTTTCACCTACTTGTCAGCTTCTTCATCGTCTTCCATGTACATCCCACAAGCCAAGGGTTTAATTAGTTTTTCAACGTTGAGTAGTGCTGCCTCTAAAGACAGTCAACCAACATGGGGTTCACCGAATAATGCTCCAACATGGAGTAATGTAGGTGCACAACTATTTACTAAACCTGTCAAGGCAGCAACTGAACAAGATGACGAAGACACATCTGACACAGAAAATGATCCTCATTATGAACCGATTGTTCCATTGCCAAAACTTGTTGAGGTATGTCTTTCTTTCCAATAGTATATCCATAGTTTTCAATTTAATTGTCTTCCAAATCTTAACAATAGTAGTTCTGTTCAGATTTCAAAAACCAGAATTAAACACTGCAGTTTTCATTGCCTACACATCAATATGTTCTTATTATTCCAGGTCAAGACTGGAGAAGAAGAGGAGCTTTGTATTTTCCTTCGACGTTGCCGTGCCTATCGTTATGTTGATAAAGTCTGGAAAGAACGTGGCGTCGGTGAAATCAAAGTTCTTGTACAACCTCGTACTATGCCTACAGATGCTAAACACTTTGGACCACGTGATGTAGTCCCTCTAGAATATAAATTAACTGACATTGGACGTGCACGTATTTTAATGCGTCGTGATCAAGTTTTAAAATTATGCTTAAATCATCCTATTAGTCATGAAATACCAGTGTTAAAACCAATGGGTAATATGTCTGGTGGTAATAGTCTATGTTGGGTTGGTGAAGACTACAGTGAAGGTTCAGCTAGCCTGGAAACATTAGCTGTTCGATTTAAGGTGAGTGTGACAAAAAGAGTAGAATTCAATTTATTTAGATAATCAGTATGGGATTGTAAAGTTTTCTATTGAGATAATGAGTTGATCAATGTTAGACCACCATTTAAAATCTGAAAGCACTGGACGGCCGTTCCGTCCCAGTATGGGACTCTGAAGCAGTGCACATCCACGAACCCGCAGGCAGGGTTCGAAACCAGGACATCCGGTCTCGCGCGACAATGGATACCGACTTAGTGACCTAGAGATTAAGAGTTCGCGCGCGAGACTGTAGCTCCTGGGTTCGAATCCTGCTTGCGGGGTCGCGGATGTGCACTGCTGTTGTCCCATACAGGATGAGACGGCCGTCCAGTGCTTCTAGGTTTTCTATGGTGGTCTAGCATCGATCGATTCATGATTTTAATCATTTAAATATGATACTACCAGTAAAGTTTTATTTGTGGAGTCGCTTCTTTATTGTCCTTCTAAAAAAGTTATTATTTATTTCTTTCCTTTTCGTTATCGTTTAGCTTGATACAGATGCTGAGGAATTTAAAGCTGCAATCTCACGAGCACAAGCAGCGCTAAGTGATTCATAATTTCAGCGAGGTAATAAAGTAGTATGTATGTTGTGTAATATACTTCGAAATATATCTTGTCTGTTCAAAATCGATTAACTATGATACTTTTTAATGATTTGCTTACCAATTGAGTAATAGCTATTTTAATTTGCGTGATTAGCATACAAATTGGTCTCTACTTTTTTGGTAGCTAACTTATTTGCGAAGTACAACTCGATCACATTTGTCTTTGCAAATTGCACAGATTTGTGATAAACATATTTTTGACAAAAAAGCAACATATATGTATTGGTTAATAGAGTACACATCATATTCCAAGGCATATCGTCCAGGTGATAACTGCTCACGAAATTGAATTATTAACATAAGCTCTTGTAAATGATAGTGTAATCAAACAACGCAATAGGTCATTTTACTTACGCCTGTTGCCCTTCGTCGAGGAGCATAGGCCGCTCACCAACATTCTCCATCCAACTCTGTCCTGGGCAATCTTTTTCAGTTGCTATTTATCCTTTTGATATCCGCTTCCATGACCAAGCTTTGCAGATTGCTCATATGGCGGTTAGATTTTGACTACGAGGTTAAATTTTCACTCGTTATATTAACTCTAGTGATAATAATTAGTCAGTGATTCAATGCTTGAAACATTTGACTATCCCAATTACTACTGAATTGCATATTCAGACAACCACTTCACACCAATTTCAATGTAGATAGTCATGCAGTAAATGTCATTAGCCAGCCTTATAGACAAAGTTAACTCTAATCCACACTTACATATATTGTGTAAAATGTTAATAGTATTATTGTCATACTATCATCCATATTTGTTTGAGTAAAATGATAAAGAAATTCAAATTTACAGGTCATTAAGTAATCCTCATGCATTACACTCATATGGCCACGCGTATGTAGCCTCTGCCAGGGAAGTCCTACTCACTGCCTTCTCGTGGCGGGGGTGTTGTTTACGAAAATGAGAGGACGAAAAGCGAATGTCCGGCGCTTTAACCGGACTCCAAACCAATGGTGCACATGGGCTCCAGTATCCTGCGGGGACAAACGGCGTATGAACCAATCGTTGGTCACCGGCTTCCATGGGACTGCATCTCCTTACGATGCTCCATTGCCTTGTGGATCAGACCTTCAGTTCGAAGGCTCCGGGTGTGGCCCCCTAAGAAAACCACCTGCTTCGGTTTGGACACCCGGGCAGTATCACAGCCCTCACACATATCAAATGAGATCTGTGTAGTGCATATGTATTTGGTGTCTCCTTGTACCAATATCTATGTGTTAAAATAATAAACGCTCGTATTTACTTTTAAACTTTTTAATCCAATCATACATTTTGTTTCTTTTCCATTTCAGTATTATCTTCTCCTTGGATAAATTTCTTTCGTGAATGTTTTCATGACTGTTCAATTATAAGAATGTCTTAATCTTATTCATTTACCATCTCTTATATATGTTATTGTATTCTCGACTCTCTCGATCAATGTATATCATTAAATACTACTTACAATATAAAACTGGTCATATATACCTATGTTTTGTAATAAAGAAAATATAACATAGATTTATCATTTGTCTTCCCTCTTTTTTGTTGTTGGTTCTATATCCCCATTTCAAATCCAACCGATAAGTAAATTACTAATATACAATTAGATTTTATTTCAAAGGAATAATAAAACTGAGTAGGTTACAAATGTTATTTAATAATAGTTCGATCAATTGTTTGTTCATGAAGTTGTATCAATCGAGGAATTAGAATAGATTCAATTTCTTGTGATATGATTTGCCGTTTATTAATTTCATCAATATTATTCTCCATATTTATATGTTCAACAATTATGTCCTGTGTATTGTTCTGTTTAAATACTAACCATACTTCTTTTGATCTAGTTTGTAAAAGATTAGCAACTATCACATTGGGATTGTACATTTCAAGGGATTGTTTTGCTTTAACTAATAACAGTCGATGATCTGTTTCAAGCTCAAAATAAATAAATACATTTATCTCAACATTTTATAAGGATTATAAACAATATTTTCACAATAAACCAGTTCAATGCTAAGCTAATATTAATTTCTACATAATACTGTCATGAACGAGGATACAGGGTGGGGACAACCAAGTGTATTTTTAATTAAAAAAAATACAGAATGTCTTTGTTTTATTACGATCACTGGTCAGTTTCTCTAGATTGTGATCATTTTATTCCGGAGTTAAACTAGTTAACTGGCTTGTTAATATTGTGTAGTTGCTCGAACGTGATTTGGATTTTGTATTTGTATAGATGTCGTGTTGAAGGCGTAAATGAGCAGTTTGTGGTGGGGTTGTTTAATTACTCAACTTCACAATTGATTGATCACTGGGTGGTGATCAATGTCATGCTTGTCTAGTCCTTATTAGTGCAGATCGAATGCTATCGATCATGTTGCAATGTGGCCACCAGTCTAGGTGACTCGACACTGCGGGCACTATGTATTGAGATTTAGATGGTGGTTGGAGGTAGTCAACAGGAAACCCTGGACCCGGGTTTCGTGCCACTTGGCACTCGTCAGCAAGGCGTACCTGTAATCTTGAGGGAACTGGTGCTCCCTGGTGGATTCGATCTCGTGTCACCCAGCTTCACAGTCAGACGTTACCACTGAGTTATCCCAGCCGTGACTGACCTCAACTTCCACTTATTAGATTTTAGTCTCTGATACCACTTCATCTACCTAAATCTAATCAACTGGTTAGTCCTTGTAGTTGAATAGTGGCTTGAATTTTGGTTACACCATTTATTTTTGGTTGTAGTATTGCTAGCCTTGACATAAAGGAATGTAACTAAAGGCTGACTGTATTAACACGTAATTGGTGAATGAGTAGCGTTTGCATCGTAGTACTTGCAATCAAAGGAAATTTGTCAAAGCGATGTGATATGTATCAGTAAAATACATTTCAACCTGATCACACGTTTGGTGTTGTGTTATCTGAGCTGGTCGATTGAATTATGAAGTTTTCTTTGCTTAACTAGACAACTTGTCATCAATACATATTTCAAAAGGCAGTGAGCTATTGGAATTTTTTCACAATCGATTAAGAGTTCGTTATTCTGTTGACATGGAATCCGGAAGGATTGTTGTCCATTATTATATGGACGTTGTTTGCTTGCAAACAACTTAATACAAAGTTTTGGTTGTGATATTTTATCCGAGAATTCAATAAGTTAGCATTAATTCACTACAGTTTAGATTTTACAGGGAAAGCTCCTAAAAAAAGCATCACCTTTTTTAGTACAATAATCAGATGCCTTAGTAGCTTAGTTATGTATATCATCGCTAAATAAAAGACTACATCCAGTTTGGTACATACAAATTATAACATCGATCTATCAAAATTATAAGGTGTGTAATGAACTTAGAAAACAGGCATAAATTATTCAAAACTGTATAGATTTTGAGAAATAAGTAATAGAATATTTACTTGTAAATAAATTGTTATGATCACATTTTTATCTAATTATAAATTAAGGTAATTTTGAAATGTTCCATAGTGAAGGTAAGTATTGGTAAAGCAAGAGTAGCATTCCTACAGTTGAAGAACATATGGAATTCGAAATAACTGTCAAACAATATCAAAGTCAGAATCTTCAACACGAACGCCAAGATAGTTCTGTAGTACGGAACATGATGAAGAGCGAGTACAAATCAAATCTAGGTTAATCAAATGTCTAATGGACGACTGTAAACAGTGGTGGGCAACGAAAGCAAAAGAGATGGTAAAGGCGGCGGCTATAGGGAACACAAGACAGCTCTACAGACTGATAAAAGAAACTGGAATTAATAAGTCAAGTGTAAGTCAAACTATTTCGGAAAAAGACGATACTTTCATCTGCTCCCAGTTTAGAGGTTTAGAACGATGGGTGGAACATTTTAGAGAACAGTTCAGCTGGCCTTCGGCTACTCCACAAATACGCACCATTCCCAGACAGCCTGAATGGAACATTGAAGTAGGTCCCCCAACTCTAGCAGAAGTTCAGAAAACTATAGTTAATCTGAAACGAGGAAGGACAGCTGGTCCAGGTGGACTGGCTCCAGAGGTCTTAAAGGATGGTGGTCCTATTTTAGCGATTAGGTTGACTAAGATTTTAGCTAAGATCTGGGAGTTGGACGTTATCCCATCTGACTGGTCACAATCACTTATCGTCCCAATATATAAGAAAGGGTCAAAATCATCCTGTGACAACCATAGAGGGATTAGTTTGACTGATATAGCATCTAAAATACTAGCCATAATAAGTATCAGACGCCTAACTAAGACTCGTGAACTGCAAACACAAGAAATAAGACTGGCTTCAGACATGGCCGTGGCTACATCGACCACATATCATTCGTTAGGTTCTAGAACCCAGGCGTACTTATCGACGTCCGACAATAGTGGTCTTTCTTGACTCAAAAGCAGCATTTGACTCCGTAGACCGCGAGATTCTGTGGCAGTGTCTGTCATTGGAAGGCGTACCTCAGAAGTGCATAAACCTTGTAAAGGCTCTTTACTCGAACACTACTAGTCGAGTCAGAGCTTATGGCGAACTGTCATCTACTTTTGCAACCTCAAGTGGTGTCCGTCAAGGCTGTCCACTTTCTCCATTTTTGTTTAACTTCATCATAGATCTACTGATGGAAATAACTTTCTCGTCTAATGAGTTCTCGGGTATTGATCTCCATCCAGGAGATCCAATTGTCGACTTAGAATACGCAGATGACATAGTCCTGTTTGGTGAAAACGCTGATTAAATGCAGTCTTCTGGTAGCACTGGGCAACAATGCCAGGATGTTTGGAATGCGCTTCTCTCCCTCTAAATGCAAGTTGTTGCTTCAGGACTGGTCTGCGTCAGCACCTGAACTAAGGATAGTGAGTGAAGTAGTCGGACGCGTCGACAACTTCACTTAACTTGGAAGTCTGATAAGCCCTAATGGGTTGGTGTCTGACGAAATCTTAGCACGGATTCGAGAAGCTCGTTTGGCTTTTGCCAACTTACGTCACCTTTGGCGGAGGCGAGATATCCGTCTATCAATAAAAGGACGAGTATACTGCGCGGCAGTCCGTTCTGTTTTAATTTACGGTAGCGAAACATGGCCATTAAGAGTAGAAGATACTTGTGAGCTACTAGTATTTGACCACAGACGTCTTAGAAATATTGCTCGCATCTGCTGAGATCACCGGGTAATAGTGAGGTTCGACACACGATAAGTCATTTGATGAGGTTGTGAATCTTCATCGACTGAGATGGTTGGGCTACGTGTTACGTATGCCTGAACACCGATCACCACGACGAGCAATGCTGACTAGTGCTGGAGATGGTTGGAAGAAAGTTAGGGGCGGCCAAACCAAAACGTGGCATCAGTGTTTGAAGACACTAACATCTAGTCTGAGCCATGTTGGTATATGCAAATTACTTGGTTGGGGTCCGCGTGACTATCGTAACCAATGGCTGGAGACTGGGTGACATGGCTCAGAATTGATCGCCGTGGCGTGGGTGTATACACTCTTTGTCTTCCCTCAAACCGTGAGATTAAAATTGCTTTATACCTTTATTTCTACGAACTAGTACACAATCTTTCTTTTATATATTACTACCATTGCAGTAACTACTATGAATTTGGTGTTCATCTTGTTGTGCTAATGTGGTGTGGCAACTTGGACCGATGCATATATGTGATTGGTCTTGCGTTGTTGCTTTTGACTGATTGAATTATGGACGTGAAACCTGAAGAACTACTACAACCATCATCTGAAAAGTGTAGGTAGTTATAAACATTTGTCTACACAGGCTGATACATATCTGTTGGGCAAATACCATCAGAAAAAACCTACTGTGGGAGAGAACAAGCCTGATTCCAGCTGAAGAAAAAATTACAAGAGGCTGGAGGTGGATACAATACATGTTCTGGAAACCATTAAACTGCATCACAAGACGAGTCCTGACTTGGTAAAACGAAAAGAGGGAGACTAAAGAAAACATCACTCCGTTATTCGGAGGTAACACTTGGTGACAACTGTAAAGGATTTCCCAGGACAGACTCGGTTGGAGAATCCTGGTGGGCGTTTTATGCTCCACCACGAAGAGTATCAGGTGTAAGTGATTAAGAACGAGCTCTTAATTTTGTTTGTTCATAGTGATGGGAACAGCTTTAATTTATTCGTGTGACTATTAAATAAGCAAAAAAGATAACGCTGAATCTAACTGTGACAGTCAATTTAGCTTTGATATTCATTTTCAAATCATTAAAAATGAACTGTTGGCTTTACCTAGGTAACTTCTTTTTTAAATGTGGTTAGCGAATATAGGCAAAAGCGAACACCATGTCAAAGTATAAGTTTTTGTTGTTGGGTTTCAACTCTTTGATATCGTAATATAAAGATTTAATAAAATATATCACTCACTATTGTTTAACTCACTTTAAAACTAATAACATATGAAGAAGGTGACCATAATGTAGTGAGTAATTTCATAACTTTAGGTACTGGTTGTAATGATAAATGTAAATCTTCTATTGTTGATAAAGATTTGTCTAAATAATCATCACTACTCTTAGCAGTAGTGGATAACATTGATTTTGTTTGTATTTTATGCTCTGGACGATATTCTCTATTTAAATAATAATCGGAGACAGCAGCAGATAAATAAAAGGACAAATGAATTTGTTTCTGTCTACTGCTTCTGTTTAAATGAATCGCTTCTAATTGTTTTGCTATCCAACGTAAACCGATTAAATAATCTTCTATCGTTTCAAAATCTAGTGTAAATAAGTACTGACCTTGTGTTAATTAGGCATGAATGAAAACAGAGATCATTGAAAAGGAATGATTAGTATGTTGTACTATAATAAATACAAGCAGTTAACAAAGAGTCATTTTAGGCGTATATTAACGTTAAACAATTCAAGGCAGTCAACAGGAAGCTATGGAACTAGATATAGTCAATACTTATCAGCAAGAATGGATAATTCGAGACGTGGCATCAGTCTATGGAATAATTCATTGTTGCATTGAGCTCTCTGGGTAGATGCAGATTATCATGTTGG